GACAGTGGGTTTATTGGTTCGCCGCAGTACAAGGTTTGGAAAAGCGCAGGTCTCTATGGCCGCTCCAAGGAGTTGGTTTTTCCTAAGCTTAAGTCAGCAGTACAAGTGGTCAGYGGGGAAAAATATCGAATTTGGTTTGGACAGGATTTGGACAATCAGTCAGACAACAATAATAGTGGATTAGTTTGTGTCGATGTGTATGGCTTGTATGAATAATGAAAAGTTAAACGAAAAAACGTGTATTAACACAGAGCATGCGCAATAAAAAACTGTCGATAACAGGTATCCTAGTCATTCGCGCGCTGTGATTGGCTAGYGCGCGGTCCGGTTTTTCACGATCTGCCMGAGCCGGTAAATAACATATATGTATTGTAAACACACTAGTAAAATGATCAATAAAAAAAGATTGGACTAGCGTCGATATTTGAAAACATCGAAAGAGTATGTTGAACTAAAAAGTGACATTGACAAGCTAAAGCACATGTAAAAATGTGAATCTAAAATAAAGTACAGCTGCAAATAAATAAAATGGACTTTGTGAAAGTATTGGGTCCGTCTTTTGGTCGAGGGTACTATGTCGAGAGTCGAGTTTTACTAAAAAGTATATAAATGATGGAAATTTTTCATTGGAAATTTTGATGTATAAGTTTTTATGTCGATGAAACGGAAAAGAGATGAAAAAATCGCCAACTTGAATCGTACCTCTACTCGACCCTTCAAAAGACGGAGCCCGCTGTAAGCCGATCCGTACTACCGATCACGTGACGTTTTTAGAAGGCCATGAGAATCCATYGGGGAATACAGCGACGATGGGTGATGATGTTGACGTACATTTAGCTCAGTATTGGAAGACATTTACCCAACTGAAAAAGGTTTTACTGAAGAATGTTTCAGTACTGAGTGTCATTATGTTTCTACTAATTTTTCAAGTCATTTCTGTGGAGTTTTTTGTTGAAGAGCAGTTGCCAAGTGCATGCAATTACACGCGTAAGTTTGAAGTCGATGTGACATTGTTTTGAAATGATATCCTTGTAAACTTCTTATATATTTAATATGTTTACTGTTCTAGTTGAATGATATTTCTTTTTAAATTCTCGTATTTTACTGATAATTCCAGATGTAAGCTTAAGCTTGATATAACTTATAACCTTAAATATTATTAAAGCTAATGAAATTTCCCAATATTAAGCAAAATTGAAAGAATTGCAACCAGATATAAGCTTAATATTTATTCAAGTATCCATACGTTTCGCTTTTATTTTTACCCGGATCCCTGGTCTAGGCGAAAATTTGCATGACTATACATAATAGATTATATATTGTTATGCCATCCCAGATCGTTGTCCTTATAAATTGCCGGTTATGAATGGCAACAAGACAAAAGCCTTGCAAWTAAACCCAAATTTTCTGGTAAGTCTTTTATTGTAATTCACAATAAATGTTTTGGTTTGGGCAATTTACAATGATTTGTTCGTTGATCCTGCTCTTTTGTCATGTATACTAGCCTCTCACGCAAAGGAAATTGCTACTGGCTAAAGCGAGGAGAGACACAGGTAGCCCAAGCTCTACTGTGATCGCAAAAAAAAATTGTTTGAAGTTACATATGTGTTTTTCTTGTGTTTTATGTTCCTACTGTGGATTTGTTTTCTTTTTTTTTTTTTGAAGTTTTACCTTTTTATGGCCCCTAGTTAATATATCCATACCTGGAACATAAAACACAAGAAAAACACATGTAGCTTCAAACAATTTTATTAAAAATATTTTCAATTGTTTGTCTTCACAGTAGAGCTTGGGCTACCCGTGGGAGAGATTCTAGATTAGTGCACGTAGTTTGATTATTTTTGATCTATATATTGTTCTAGTATTGTTCATTCAATACCCCTGGTTACGATATTAGGCCTTATTCAAGAGGTCACCTGCTGAGTTCAAACGCAAAAAATGACTATAAAATTATGCACAAAGTTCAGACTGACTCGCTTGCATCTCCTGGCAGCCACGGCCATCACAAGGGGTATAAAGTGCAGGAAGGGGGAAACAGATGCTAAAAAAATCTTGAATTTTCATGGTTCAATTCATCTTGTCAACAATCAAAGATCAAAACCTTTATCTCAGTATCCTCTGCAGTATATGAATTTGTACAAAAAAAGCCTTTTATTTTGGTTTAATCTCTTTTTTCAGATKGATTTTGAACGATACAAGTCATCCCTTGTCACAGCCCATTTTGTTTCAATGGGCATTGGTATTTTATCCCTTGGCTTTTTGGCAGACAGATTTGGMAGGAAAATAGTCTTGTTTGGATCATTAGTACTGGTGTTTGTTAGCAGTTTGTTAAGTTCCTTTTTTRTACTGTCAATTAAGACTTTTATTTYAATGAGAGTATTTGCAGCTTTTGGATCAGGTAAGGAGTGTTTTTATTGAAGTATATGTTGAACTATAATTACCTTTATTCCTATATTTATTCCAACTCTTGGGGATACTTTCACCCTGTTTCTCCGCATGCTCAATTTTGTGGAATGTGCCTGTCCACGTCCTGCCTCCTCCCAGATCTGAAAATTCCTAGAAGATCCTAGATATGCCCCTGTGCAAACACTCATCTGTAAATTATTATTACTTATTAATTTTTAGGGTTTTTCAAATTGAGGGCTATTGTTTTTTATTGCAGGCGGTGCTCTATTAGCAATGTTTGTCCTAGCAGCAGAATATGCAAACACACCTATTCGCCCCCAGATTTTAATCGCTCTGTGGCTGGCAGGAGTTCTGTCTGTTATTTCATTTGTTGGTCTTGCTTATGCTATATCAAGCAGGAAGATTCTTCTGATATTGATATCATTCCCTTTGATCAAAGGGATTTTATTTTATCGGTAAGAAATAATAATAATAGCCAATGATTGATAATATTATATACTATATACCTGTAGTTGTGCTTCTGACTGTATGGTGTATATTTTGATTTATAATAACCCTTTTTTATTGCACTTAAGATAAAATATGCTGGTATAACTAGAAACAAATTGGTAGTTTCTTGGACTGTATTTTTAAATATGAAGATGCATGTCAGAAACTGCTGGAAGTGTTTTGGGGTTTAGAGGTCATGACTTACTAAAATGCATTTTTTATTCTTACTTCAGAATAATACCAGAGTCTCCTMGATGGCTTCTACTTCAAACTGGTAGAAAGGTGTCAAGTCGTCATGATAATATTCAAGATAATGAATCAAAGACTTTGCTGCATGCGTTTACAAGTGAGGAGGTCTCACATCTATCCAAGAGGTCTGCATGCTGTTATGGATATAATAAAAAGTGCATCAATTTTTTTCGAAACAAGAAACAATGTCTTAATTTGGTTGTTGTTGGASTGTCATGGTGAGCTTTTTGTGATAGTTATGAAGTCTTTTTTWCATTTATTAGTTGATCCATTCGTCTATTTCATTCATTCATTCTTTTCTTTATGAATTTATAAACATTCATGTATTCATCCAYCAATTACAGTCATCAGTTATTTATCCATCCAAAAGCCATCCATCTACTTTACCCTATTTTTCTTTTGCTCACTCATTCATTTATCCATTTTTTCCTTGATTCATTTTTTTTATTTACATATCCATTCATTTATTCTGTCCTTCTATCTACTCACACAGTGTATATGCAAGAAATGTTTTTCACAAATTATTGACATTTTATATGATTTGTAGGTTTGCAGTTGGTATGTCATACAGGGGCTTCAATACCTCGTATATACAGTTACTAAACAACTATTATGCCAACTATGTAGTRAGAGAGTTGGTCAGCTTGTTGGCTTTTGCCTTCAGTGTTTTWTTTGCCACTTGGTAAGGTTAATAGTTATGTATGTCATTTTATCAAGTCTGGTAGTGATCACAAGAACTGTATTTGTCGCTTTGGAAAATGATGGTGCAAACCGGGCTGGATACAGAATTAAGCTGGTCCAGAAAAWAMCTTAATCTGCACTGCTTGCGCACTACGAATGAAAACCTTTGATAAAGATGTCATGCTGTTTTCTTTAGCTGTTTCTTTTTATTCAGTCATATTGACTAAGTAAAGCCATGCAAGGAAATATTTGGCTCTTGGTTGTTTGTACGGCATGATCTTGAGCAAAATATTTGACCACTCAGKCAATACATAAATTTTTTCATAATGCAKTGCTTGCTCCATTGAAAAAGTTTGTTTGTTTTTCTTGGTTTGTTTGACAGTACTGGTCGTCGCATCACTACAGTCCTATCAATGGTCTTGTGTGGTATTATATGTCTTTTGTTCTCGTTTGGTTCACATGGGTTCTTCCTTTCAGGTAAGGCAAATTACAAAATCCAMCAGTGCCAGTGCAAATTATTTACACCCTGACAATATATATTTCCAGGAATACTTTCAATATAACTGTAGCCTGCRTAGCGGGTATTATGAGTTTTGTGTCTTGACTATCAGTGCCAGTAATGCATACTTAACACCAATATTATTATTACAGTGTTTTCAGACTTATCTAAAAGAAAATGTTGTCCTTTCTTCCTCACAGAACAAGGCGCAATCAAGATTGTAGTCCAGTTTGTTGGACGGATGTTCTTCATTGTGTCAATAACTTCATTATCACTGTATTCCACTGAGTTATTCCCAACTGTTATCAGGTGAGCTATCTTTATTTRTTGTTTTGTATGAAGATCCTACTTGAAATGGTAGCTGCATTGGAAAGTAGAGTAAATTAGCACCTATGTGGTTCCTAGTCCCAATCCTACTCCCCCTCTCTTTAGAGGCTGGTAGCTGCAACAATTTTAAATTATGATCATTCAACTGTTTAATTTCACAAKTCAAACTTTCTATTCCCACCATTTTCCTTTGTAGGTGTTCAGCCCTCGGTATAGTGGTTTGCAGCAGCTTTCTAGGTGCATCAACAACCCCCCTGATCATGAAACACCAAACAACTAACCCAATGATGCCTCTAGCAATASTTGGCTCTGTATTAATTCTCGTTGCTATTTCCMTCCGTATTTTCCTACCCGAAACTAAAGGAGCCCTTACAGCAGAAGGCCTGGAAGATACAGAAGTAGGGAGAAGGATGCCKTTGAGTGAAAAATGGAKGCCAAGGGTCGCCATAAGGAAGAARGATRATGTTGATGGTTCCAGSCAAGAGAGAATGCAGCATCGGTCTTATAGTGACCCTGTAGGTATAGAAGAAGAGGACGGACAATTTAAGGTACAAACGTTTTTTTAAAGGAAGACTATTCTACTTATTTATTGTAAACTGTGCAATAAGTTGTTTATCAACGAGAATTTTAATTGATCCGCTTCATCTACATCTACATAGTTCCAGCACTTCGCAACGTTCATTAGGTTACTAGCTGTATATTAGTATGAGGTAGTTAATTCATTAGAAAAGTCTTGTAACTGAGGAGGTTTTATAATAAAACGAAACTAGTTTTACAGACAATACAAGCTGATCGTGCGTCAAGACCCAAAAAGTCAAGCCTTAACATACTTGAGGAAATCAAGATGAAATTAGTTAATTCATTCTTTTCAACATTCTATCCCTGCAGGACTTAGGGAAAAGTTGGGATGTCTCATTYGATAGGGCATCTTGCACATCGAAATGGGAGGTAATTGTTTATTGATGTTAATTAATAAAGACAATAGTTATATCTTACCTGGTTTTTCCCTCTATTTATTAGTGGCTGTCATATGATGATGCTAGAAGAAAGTAAGTCGTTACTCATGTAAATACTGAATTTGACTRTCATGAAAGCCTTGAMCAGCATTKGCSTGTTTTGTTTTAGGCTTCCATCCTTGGATCTTGAGGACAGTCTGCAAGACGTATCAGAGCTGTTAGATGACTCAGATCTCGTAAAGGTAGAACAATGACTATCATTCAACTGATTGACATAGTGAATGAGTAAACTAACTGACAGGTGTCAATGTTTGATTGATTGATTGATGATTAATGATTGATTATTAACCATATATATCGATCTCTACAGCTACAYGACTATGTTCCTGGCAATTCTTGGATTTTACTATACAGTACCTATGAGCATGGTACTAGTTTAAAGACACTGTACCACAGACTACAGGAAATAGAAACACCTGTACTGATTGCAATCAAAGACCATCAAGACTACGTACGTAAACCATTGTGGGCAGATTGTACATATATTGTMCAAATCAAGCATTCATACTCAATGTACTTTCTAGGTTTTTGGAGTGTTTTCCTCGATACCACCACATGTACAAAAAGGGTTTTTTGGCATTGGAAAGTCATTTTTCTTCAAATGTAAACCTGGATTTAAGGTAACTGATGTTATTCTAATAAGATGGTTGTAGATTAGTCTAATGCCATTATCTTGTTTTTGTAGCTTTATCCAAACAGTGGTCAGAATGAATACTATCTGTACTGTGAAGGTGACAGTTTGGCATTTGGATGCAGYCAGTAAGTATTTTAATGAGCGACAAATACAATRTTGCTTGGAAACGTAAGGATTAGTAACCCTAGTGCCCATATAGCGTCCCAATCACCCCAAAATGCGCTTTGCATTGTTATCAATTCCCTTGAGGAAACTAGAAYAATGTAAAACCGCGTTTTTAGGACATGCACATTGGGCACATTATCCTTTTTTCTTGCTTGMGGGTGTCTACAAAAATGCTTTCGCCAGGTGTGCGTAAGGCACGCATATCGTACTTGCGTGTGCGTAAAGAATTTATTATTATTATTTTTATTATTATTTATTATTATTTTATGTATTTCAGAGGGACGTTTGGCCTCTGGCTTGATGGTGACCTGTACAGAGGACGAAGTACACCATGTACAACTTTCAACAGTGATGTGTTATCATCTAGCGAAGACTTCTWTTTGATCGGTCTTGAGGTCTGGACATTTGCTTGAACGATTCACATCACAAGATACGACAAGCTTCAATCTTCATCGCATRATGGATACCTTGAGTGAAAACTCCCACAATGACTGGAATTGCTTGTAGCACCAATGCTGCGCATGCAAGATTATATTATGTCTTATAGTAAAGAGGGAACAAATTCAATATTAYTCCATGGTAATTTCATAATTTATGAAAGCATCTCATCAACATGACAACGGACTATTAAAAAACATGATAATAAGAAAGACAGCATTTATAACGGTTAGTTCTTCCTAAATGTGTATAGTCTCGAAGGTGTRTAACAATTTCTTAATTTTKTCAAAATGCGTGCTCATTTTGGATTAGCTAATGACCACCAACCAATATTATTCATTTCTTTACTCTGACGTCACGAATCATGCAACAATTTTCATGATATTTGTACACAGACGTCACAGGCTTTGTAAAGAGCGAAAAAATGAGTTGGATAGATCGTATTTTKTGATATTGCTGAATTTTGTTGTTGTGTTTTTTTGCATATGAAGAGTTACTCAGCAAACGTGCTCAGTTTCACCAAAATATTTWGGATGGTCTTAATCTTTATTTTGTCTTCAAGAAATCTATGAATAATTAATAAAKAGGAATAAAATAATATTAATTTATTGTAAAGACAAAAAATGATAATAATAATTTATTTATTGAAAAAATAAATGATATTTTATAAGGATAGTCTACCAGTGTGTTGTTTTCTTGCTCCTATATTTCAGTGTAAGTGCAGAGTGTAAGTAAAACCGAGAGTTTCAAACAGTCACCGGTCACGGCTGCGCAATCAGCCCTAGATTGCGTTAGGCGGTACGCCGCGCGTGGAGAAACCCCTAAGCCATTGAGACTCTAAATTTTCTAGTACATTCTGTTTTTAAAATTAACTTCCAGACATCCATTGTAATCACCGCTGTGTGACGTTGTTTTTTTTTTTTTCAACGAGTGCAGCTTGAAAGCATTAGAATCCATTCCGGGTTCAAAAGATCGACACGTGAAAAACATGGCGGACAAGAAGGAAGACACGGACTTCCAAGAAAACGATGTTCGACATTATGAAGAAGACAACCACGATAATTTCTTGATCAAACGGATCGGRCAGATGCGAGTTCATTCAATCCTTACAGACATTGTTTTGATTGTGGRARGTCGTGAATTTCGCGCCCACAAAAATGTTCTGGCTGCAAGTAGTGACTACTTTATGGCAATGTTCAATGGCCAAATGGCAGTTGTTAGTGATAGTGTTACCATCCAGGACATTTCTGCTGATGCAATGGAGCTTCTTCTAAACTATATGTACACTGGAGAGTTAGATATCAGCGAGGATAATGTTGAAGATGTGTTTTGTGGGTCATGTTTGTTGCTCTTGCAATCGATTACTCGAGCGTGTTGTCAGTTCATCGAAGAGCGCCTTACATTGGGAAACTGTTGGGGAATCCGTACATTGGCAGATAAGTTCCACTGTAGTGACATGTTGAACACYGTCAATCGTTTTATTCAGCAGACCTTCAAAGATGTCGTAAACGAAGATGACTTTCTCATGCTTCCTAGCTCTGAAGTGAGCAATYTRCTTGGAGACGATTACATYGTYGTGWCATCAGAAGAGCAAGTGTTCGAGGCTTTAMTCAAGTGGATCAACCATGACCTAGGTGGTCGAAAATTCGAATTCCCAAACTTGTTAAAGCAAGTTCGTCTTACCCGAATYAAACCAGAGTACTTTGAAGAAATGATTGCCAGTTATAGTTTAGTACTAGAGATACCAGAAGCTTWTGAGATTATTTCAGTAACAAGAAATTTCTTGTCAGGATCACAAGAAAGTCAAAACCTAAGTGTATCATTTGAAATCCCCGAGTCATGGAAATAYCCACGAAGGTGTCTCAGGTTTGTYGAAGTAGTCGTAACTGTGGGTGGAGGCGCATTGTGTAATTTTTTTGATGAGAAAGAAAACAACTGGGTACCKCTAGCTCCCCCTGTCACTAGGCATTGCCCTGGCATGGCAACCCTGGACAATAAAATCTTYGTATGTGGGGGTAGCAAGCAGTGGAAAAGGTATAATCGATGTGAGCAATATGAACCAGAACGTGATGAATGGACTCTCATTGCACCCATGAAGATTGGCAGAAGCAATATGGGTCTGGTGGCTTTGAATCAATGTCTGTATGCAATAGGTGGATATGACGGAAACATGGTTGTCTGGTATGTTGAAATCAGTGTCTCATAACCATCTTCTTGTAGCCTTGACTTTCAYACCACTCCCTAATGTGAAAAGGACTTGGGTGSGTCATCATCATGTTAACCCTTTTGGCAACAAGATTGGCCAAKGGCTAGCACAATATAGGTTRACTCTACATGTCATTTGAAGAGTTCATTTTGTTTTTAAACTTACTTATCTTGTGTTCTCCATATCTACCACCATACAGGGACATATTAAATGTATGGCTATCAATTAATCAAGACTTAMCTAATATGTATTTTGTTTTTATTGCAGTAAGGTTGAGTGTTACAACCCCAAAAAAGATGAATGGTCATTCAAGAAGGAAATGCACAATTGTCGTGATGGTGCTTGTTATGCCACTGATGGCATGTACATTTATGCTATTAGTGGATATGACGGCAATAATTATCTAGGGAGCGTTGAAGTTTATGATCCGCTTGTTGATAAATGGAACATTGGAGGTATTTAATGAAATTTGAATGTTTATTATTTCCAAATCATAATAATACCTATAATGACATTCAAATTACTATTTCTGAAATGCTTTTTCAATTCTAAACAGAGGTTCCATCAATAGTTGAAAGAAGAGAAGATGCTATGTGTGAAGCATGTGATGGCAAAGTCTATGTCATTGGTGGTTACTATAACAACATCTTCTACTCATCTGTAGAAGAACTTGACTTGGACCAAAATAAATGGGATTTCAAGAGTCCAATGAATGCTGGATCACGCTACAATGCAGGCTCAGCTATCATCAACAAGACCATTTATATCTGTGGGGGTTGGACTGGGCAGGGCTTGGCATCCTCCCTTGTTGAGTGCTACCACATTCCAACAGACACCTGGTCAGCTGTCGCCACACTTCCAGCTCCTTCAGCTGCTCGAACAGTGGCCTGTCAATTTCCACGGTCAATGATCAAGAAGTTGAAGAAAGATGACAACAGCAAGAAAAAGTAGTGAAAAGCAGACACTAGTTTTTATTTATTTTTATTGTGATGTTCAAGAACATAATGATTTAGTTATGAATAAGCACCGATGTAAATTATTGCTCTGACTGGTGATGGTTTATTCCCTTAAGACACTTATATATCATTTGTGTGACAGTCATTGTAGTGAATTAGAAGTGGTAATTTTTTTCAAGAATTGTACATAAATCATGTTAGAAGCTTGTAATTAAAAAGAGATGACCATCAAAAAATATGTATGACCTTGTTGCACATTTTAAAGGGTTTTGGTCCTTGGCATCCCTTTGAGATTTTGTTTATGTTTGAAAATAAAGGTACATGACACCGCTGTCAAACCTGTCAAAGTACATAGTAATGATAGRAATATAAAAGCAAGTGACAGATTTTAGTTTTGGGTTTCCTGYGCTCTTCATTTTCCAAAAAAGACTGGAGCTGATATGACACAACCGGTGAAATGGAATAAAACTAAAACAAAATGCCGATGAAAACGAGTTTGATGCTAGGTTTGTGCTTTGCTGCACTATCTATCAGTCTAACTGGAACATTCTTCTCTAACATTGCACCAGAGAAGAAATTCTACGCTTATAGATTGCAGATCGGTTGTTTGTTTATCGTCATGGTGACTTTTCTGTCAAGATTTTTGTGGTTTCAGCTAACAAGCGAGTTCAGTCGCTCTTCTTTGATAGGAAAGGTTTTTCGATGTGTTTTGTTGTTGATCCTCATTCTTGGCAGCTTAAGCATGATATTAGGGTACATATTTGTTGGTCCTGAGCCGTACTTTATCACAAAGACAGCGTTTTTGTGTTTAGGATTCATGTTCATAACATCATTCAATGTTCTTGTTTGGAATGTGTTATGCCAACTTAATTTYACTTGGAACCCATTCCAGAGGAAAGCTGGTATAATAAGACCGTTTGTTATTTTTGGAATATCAATTAGTATGTGTGCAGCAGGATTTCACATGGCCTTAGTTGGTAGAAAGGTTATAAATATTAATATTGAGATGTCCAGACTTCCTGTTTCATTGAATGGCACAAGACTTGTTCAACTTTCTGACATTCATATTGGTCCAACTGTTGGGAAATCAGTTATGGAGAGTATTGTTCAGCGTGTCGTGGATGTACAGCCAGATCTAATTGTTATAACTGGAGATCTAATTGATACCAGTGTTAAGTCTATAGTTCCTGCAGCTTCACCATTAAAGAAACTTAAAGCAAAATACGGATGCTTCTTCGTCACAGGTATAACTATAATCTTTCTACTATAAATCTACTATAATCTTTTTTAGTTGGTGATGACTTGGTAAAGAAGTAATAATTGCATACTTTTTAGGAAATCATGAGTACATCGCTGGAAATGTGAATTTCTGGTTTGGTGAGCTACAGAAACTAGGCATCAGACCTCTCCACAACCAGCAAGTACAGATAGCCAATCCTGTGTCGCCGTCTGACTTTGTATATTTAGCAGGTGTAGATGATATCCAGGCAAACCCTTACCTGTAAGCATCATTCGTTATTTTTATAGCTAATTAAATATTATCATGATTAGATTATAATGATAATAATTTTGTGTAACAGATTTCCTGGACATGGCATGGATCTGAAGAAAGCTCTCAAAGAACGAAACCCGGACTATCCCACAATCCTATTAGCACACCAGCCTCATGCGGCTAAAAAGGCTATCAACTTGTACAGTAATATTGATCTAATTCTATCAGGCCACACTCATGGAGGACAATTTTTCCCTCTTCACATACCTATTTATTTGTGGAATCCATTTTTCAAGGGACTCTACAAAATTAAAGATACTTGGATTTATGTATCCTCTGGAACTGTTTATTGGGGCATTCCAATCAGACTTGGTTCTRCTCCTGAAATAACTGTTTTAACACTTATAAAAAAATAGAACACTTATAAAAAAATAAAATTAAAATGGATGGAGAAAAAGAAGCGTGCACTGGCCGGGAATCGAACCCGGGCCTCCCGCGTGGCAGGCGAGAATTCTACCACTGAACCACCAGTGCATTGCATGTAAGAAGAGGCGTTTCTTAATTATTTATTCGACGTATATCATTTTTGCATTATTCCAAATRTTATTATTTTCAATCATATTGTCAAATACCACAGCTTGTTTTTTAAATAGACTTATAAAAGTTTCTGTTGTGTAGTTCAGTCCTGGTCGATGCCACGCTCCTTTTGTGTCACGCACTTGGTCACGCAAGCAGCCTTTGTCCAAGACAACAAACTTGGACATTCTCTTCTTGAACCTGTCTTGAACGCGAAGAAAAATTTAAAAACATACCATAATAGCTTTAAAATATTATTTTTWATTACAAATTTTGTCCACTAGGCTTTAAATTGATTTTTTTTTCAGTTAAAGTATTTTATTTTCAAACTAAGAATATTTTTTAAGACGCGCGCAAAGGAAAAMGTTTTAATTGAAAATAACATGTAAATTGGAAATAATCAGCATTCCTGAATCCCCTTTGAGATATYTCAACGAAATGTAAACCAAAATAAACTTTTGAAATTTGATCAAAAGTTTGACGCCCCTTTGAGTCGGTGTCACGCAACATTAMGTAGTCTGTGAACATTTCCAAATGTCCTGCGTGCTCTGAAGAATACGTTTGCCTTCAAATATATCATCTACTTACGCACCCACGTCTTACTGAAGTCTTTAGGAGCGTTTAGTGGCATTCATTCTTGAACGGCTCAACTTTGTAYATCTGTACAGGTCAGTATTTGAATTGGTCTTTGTATGAACAAGTAAAATATTTCTGATGTCCAGACATGTTCATAAAGTTACCTTGGTTTTGAATCAAAGCCATTAGAATTACCGTTGGCATCAATGACCGGTATAAAGTTGTAGTTAACATCATATCGGAGGTATATTCTGACTATTACTGTTATGTTTAACCTGGTTTATGAATTATCAGTATTTCTTATAGTTTTTATCATGCAAATTTCGTCTATTCTTTCCTGCTGATGTATTGAACGGAAACTGACTAGACCAAAGCTCACTGATTCATCAATGTTAGAAATGTTTCAATTAAAACTTCCATTTAATGAAGAATGAAGAATTCACATATTTTATATTCAAAGTTGCATTTYGATGAAGAATGTGATAACGATGAAAGGTTGATGTTGCATCCTGCGCAAAGCACGTGCGCGGAGGTCAGTGACCTAAATTCTCATTCACTTCTCTTTCATAGTTTATTTTCCTGTTTTCCTTTTGTCTTTATGCTGTTCCCTTTTAGTTTTCATTCATTCGTAATTTATTATCTTGTTTCGCTCAATCATTCAGTTTTTTCAGTATTTTAATTCTTTTACAATTGTTCTCAATAATTTACAGTCGTGTGAAACTGGTAACTAGTTATCGTGCTATATACGATAGGCAGATCTCACTGATGGTGGTTCGTGCTTAATCAAATAACAGCCTTGTGTATTCAAAGATTGTTTGAATTTGACGCTGAAAAATATTCCATTTGATGTGAGGTGAGAACAAAAAAAAAACAATTGTTATATATTCAATGAAATCTGAAAAACGTTTATCTAATCGAGACAATCGCCCTCCAAACCGAGCTATTGTCATTTCTGATTTTTTGCAGTGTTTTTATGTATAAAAGACATATTTGATAAAAGCCACACGTCGGGGATACTCTATTTGCATATGCTAAAATTGGAAAACGATTTCCATTTTATTCCTATTTATTCTTAGTAACCTAAAAAAGAAAATTTTCTCGCAAAATTCGTGAAATGGATGMTTCAATTTATTATCAAACCTRAAATTCGTACTRTTTATTTGCTATAGAGATATTTCTTTCATTTCAAAAACCGCTTTTTGATTTTCCCAGCCGTCATTTGAATAACATCCGACTGCTTACAGTTGGCAAATGACACCCGTGTTGCTCGATTATGAAGCAATATTATACTTTATAATGGCTCGCTCTTTCCAGCGACCTGGGAATWAGTGCGGGTGGGCCAAACGTAGTGTCCATTTTAGCCAAGAGAATTATAGCTTTTCCATATCTTACTCTGTGCACACTGGGAATTTCATTGAGGGGTATAAGGTAAGTTATCTTTAGAAATGGAAAAACATGTCTCGGCCGGTCATCGAGTAGAGYGAGTCACTGCATGTTTTACAATCGTGATGCGAGAAATATATCGATAGAGGTATGATGACTTCAAATCTAAGTACATCAAGAGAGTAGTGTTTATKCTCATCTTTTCGTAATGCTTAGCTATAGGCAGCATGCATTTAAAATGCTATATAACACCTGCAAGATAATTCAAGCAAAATGAAATAAAACAAGATGAAATGTAGTGTGAATTATCAAGAAAACATGCACATTGAATGATTGAACACTCCCCCGACCGGCAGAACTCATTGAGCGCAAGTGAAAAGACAGCAGAAGCAGTATACCAAGGTATCTAAATTATGTCAAAGATATTCAACGATTTACAGAAACGAATAAATTCTRATAGAAGGTTTTTTTCGCTAAACGTGTCGTTGATATAATGAATAAAACGGTGTTTATTTTGATAATAAATTATCAGACATTTCATAAGTATTTTGGTTAAAAACAAAATCCAACCACCGCTTTTAACTTTAAAAAAAGGTMCAGCTTGATATAAACCACAAAATAAGGATTTTTTTTAATATTATGTTTCTGGTTGCAATTAATATATTCTCATCCGTGGTCGAATGGTTTTTGATGCGGTTTTTTGTCGTCGCCACAAAATGCACATAACCTGCCAGACTCGTAGCATTTGACTTCCTTTGCATAAATAAACAATCTTTATATATTTTTATTTTATTGATGTTTAAAGTGCTTGTATTTAGAATTTTAAACTCGGTGATGTATTTTGGTTATTATCAGTATTTTTGCGATTTTCCCGCCTTTTCTGGACGCGCACGCATCGWGGGAAATTTCATCGAAGAAAGTTTTTCTCGCCTTTAAATCCCTTTTCAAAYCTATAATTTGTTCACCTGTTCAAACAAATTCTAGTTAATTCCCCTCTTCCAATCAATTATCACTAAACAATCCATCATTTAGCGTAWTTGTATGAAATATTAAGTACATCATAATATCAGTGGGGAGCTATGAGTTTTTTAATTCCTTAAAAGAAATTTCGGGGGGGATTGGTAATGGTAGTAATGGTAGGTTTTCCAGGGACTTGTTGAATTGCATTGCAGGAGACTGTTTCTTAATGGCCCAAAAGCCAACCACAGTGCATTCAATATTGCTTGTTGCTCTTGTATTCAATGGCGGTCATCGTTGCTAGTGACCAAGGCACAATAACTGTAAAGTTTGACAAAGTGATCCATTCACAATTAAACGTATCCTTTAATTAGATTCATCTTGCTTTTTAATGCAAACACTTTTATTTGCAGTGAACATTTATGATGTCAGAAGAAAACAATAAYAACCACGTTGATTGGTCGAGCTTAACCGGTGACGTCATTGTATGCTGCGGGGGTTACGAAGGACGCTATCAAATCGACAATGTTGAAGCTTACAGTGTAAATGASAGAGTATGGGTTGAACTACCAAGCATGCCACTTCCACGTGACAGTATGGCCGCTGGGACTGATGGGAAGGTTATTGTTCTTGCTGGCGGCTCCGATCGCAAGAATGTCTTTGATGATGTCATGATATTCGACTGGCAGTCTAAGAAATGGAGCATGAGCACCGCAATGCCTAMTGGGCGTGGCTACGGAGCATCTGCCATGGACAGCGGTCGTCTTTTGGTTGCTGGGGGGTCCACTAATGTAGAAATTGATACGTGTGTGGCTTTTGATTTGAAGACAGAGAAATGGCAAAGTCTGCCTAGTTTGCCGGGTGGTCCTAGAGCGAGGAGCGGTGGTGCATTGATGAATAATCACTTTTTTGTGGTGAGTTAGCTGCGACTTTCTAAATACCATYTTTTCTCCTYCAATGAAAACGTYGTTCTCGTTGGTGTATAGTTTATCACTGTCTTAGAAGTGAGAGTATCAATGTTATRATCATTTCACCTTCTCTTGTCAGGTTGGTGGTGATGTAATGCGTCGGCCCACKAACAAAGTAGAAGCGTTCAACATCAACGACAACAAATGGGTAACCTTTCCTTCAATGAAATCGAGGCGGCGACGCTGCGCTTTGGTTGCTAATGGCGACCAGCTTATAGTTTCTGGAGGAYTGACGTCCGACGATATCACCTTGGATACTATGGAAATGTTTGACATGCGTAATAGGAAGTGGATGGAATTACCCGCCATGCCTTGGGCACGGTTTGGATTCAGCGCATGCGTAGTGGATAACARGATGTACATAATGGGAGGTAATGAGCGTATGAAGATGAAAGCACCCGCTGACCGATGTGATTCGTTTGATTTAAAAAGTCGAGATTGGGAAAGAGTACCAGCAATGATAAGCCGCAGACTTCATGGCAGTGGTGTTAAGATGACTGTCTRATACATCATTGTCTTGCCTGTGTGAGAATAAAGTCACTGGTTTTCCTGAATTATTCAGAAGACAATGAAAACAACTAGTATTTTAAATCTTTGAAATTTAAATTGTAATTTTTGTTGAAATTCTTCGCATCTTACTCTAGTACCCAGACCTAACGCAGCTTTCCATCGCCCTCCTTATCTGCATTTCGATCTATTGAGAAATCACGTGACTTCATTCTTAAGACAGGCCAGGACACAGTTGTTCCGTGCCAGTGCTCGCTTAATTGCACTAAAAATGAGAGAGCATCGGCTCGAGGTTTAGGTTCATTTTCAAATTAAGYACTAATAAATTGGAATTTGCAATTCTGCACTGATTGTATGTTGAAGAAATGTGTGCAGATATTGTTGGGCATCCTGTCGGTTATACAGGAATGACGGCTGCAATTGAGACTGCAACAGACTTSTTGTTCGTTTGTAGATATGTATTTTGTCAAAACCAATTGATTTTTTATTTGTCACTATCATACAGGTGTTTATGTTGCTTAAATAAACTAATACAACAAATCTACATGTTTTGTGATAAATCTTCCTCAAGATCACGTGACAAGCCATCAAGTAAAAAATCGCCATTTATTTCCAACATGTTTTTGATTTTCCTACCTTAGAAAACAGCTCTAAACACGTCCCCATCTCTACTCATTTATGAGAAAGTGTTTATTTGGCACCGACACGACTATTTCCACGACCGTAAGGAGGATGAAAATAATGAAAAAATGATGGAATCTTTAATCTTTCCACTTCCATCCGGGACTCTAGGACGCGATCGAGCAGTTCCCAGTCTTCCCCGCCCCATTGTTTGAASTGCTTGMCATTCATACCACCAACGCGATCGAAATCAGACTTGTATAAAGCAAAAAGACCAAAACCTAATGTTTCCCAGTAGCCTATTGGTTTCTTAGGATGATAGCCGCATTTGAGACGCTTCACTACTGGAGCAAACGCCATCTTTCCCTGGACACAGTGCTACAAAGATAGGAAAAAGCACATTTTTGAAATTAAAGATAATTTAATGATGGCGAGAATGCACAAGCCGTTTGGTATAMCTTACCTTACGAATAGTTTCAATGAGTRTGACAGGCATAGTTAGATGTAGATCGCACATAAACAATATACTGTWTGGATCCTTAACGACATCAGCTCCTCTCTGCAAYGCCTCCGCCCTGTTGAATTCCTTGTCAACAGGCATGCGCACTACGGTATGTCGTATGATTGACGTTCGTTTCAGYACAGCCTCGATGTCAATATCAGTGCTGCTGTAATCGATGATTATCAGGTGTATGTGTGGGTCAAGTGTTTTACTGATAATTGCTGCAGGAGATCAATATTAAACATGAATGTCTATAAAAAAAAACCGCTATAATCCCATTGCTTATCCAGTACCGGTTAGTAAAAAGTCCATTTYCATTACACACCACAATAATTAGCCTGCCACAAGCATTCTTGTAAAAGCCCATTACAAAAATACGATTACAATTAGCCTGACCAAAATATAGTCTTTGTGTTAAGTTAAGAACCCATTAAATACCAGTATAACTCATTGTCAGTTATGCGTGATTAGCCGCCGCCGGCCACAAACAGGACATGGCCATTCTTTGTAACCGAGTAAAAACCTATTCAATAAAGTATTCTACCGATAATGGTAAACCTACCCTCAAGATTCTTCACTARGTAAAAAGCCCATCGTCCGCTGTTCTTGACAGGAACAATGATGTTGACGTCAGCGTGTTTATTCCAGCGAAAATCACGAGGAAAACACAGGGATCCCAAACCCTTTGGCTGATAAAGAAACTCCGAAAACTCGTGATGGCTACCGCTGTAAATGTCTTCTATTTCCATTTGTACGTGGTACCTAGAGCCTTTGACTTTGTCCACAACTCGCTCCAATGAAAGCATTTTGACAACCTTGAAATCCCTTGATTTAGAATGAAAAGTAGAGGCTATTTACTGTCTTGGAGCTTAAAATATGTAAAATAAGTTACAAAAGATAAATGGCCTGACAKACTTTTGATTTATCAGTAAAACAATTGACAAAATACGAGGAGTGATGACTACATTGACCTTTTAAACCTGACTGCTTCAGGATTCCTCGAAAAAAGACTGGGAAGGAGCAAATATGATCTTAAAAGTTCTGCCCCACAAATGGCCGATAAATGTACATGGTGTCTGTAGAAAACTCTTCATACTTACTCCTTGTAAGTTTTTTCCATAGCTTTGGTGAACATCTTCGARACATGTTCCACAGTCGCATCATCAATGACGTCATTTCCGTAGTTATTTTCAGTCCACCATATATCTTCCCCTTCGACCAGCGGTAGTGTAATATTAGTGTTGTCAGATGGGTAAACCTCGACAAAATGTGTGTTACTTTTGTTGCGGGCTCCCTGTGTAAAATYATAATCAGGTGCTGGGTTTCCATGGAAATGTTATCAAAGTGTTTACTACGTTATGTCTTGACGTCGCTAGAGCAATTGTATTGTTTTTGTTTAATGTTTCTATTGGAGAAAACGACGGCGTTTATACATATAAAAACATTGTATGACCGAATAGGAGATGAGCTCTTTCTTGGCTAAGTCTTTGCCACTCTTTCCCTCCCCTTCAAAATCACTCACGATAATTTACGTTTAGCTAAGCATATTTGCTCCGTACGTCATTGTGTGTATGCATCATGYACAGCAGTTAAAGCCTTCTTTCGGGGCAGATATTTCTTTGTTAAAAAATTAATTACGGTTGCTGATCGGAAATGTTTGACTTACCTGAAATCTGACGAGCTTYTTCTTAATGTAATAACTTGGTTCGTAGTCGCAAAACGGAAAAGCATTTTCAAAATCGATAAAATCCATAAATGTCATTTTATGTAAGCCGTTACTAGACATTTGGACATTGATTCCATCATAGTCCTCGTGTTCAGCCACTCCTTCAGTCACGTGACTATCGTTGGGTGAAGTACTCAGGTATGATCCCTGGATCACTTCAAACATTGACGTCAGCGGTGTTTTCCATGCTACTTGCACACGACCTCTTCCTTTGGTATGCTTGTACAGAATCTCAATAAAGTAATAATTTCCYCTAGAAAGGAGAAGYTCCTCTGATSTCTGCGTATGGACTTGATCATAAACATCTTCTTTTACCAAACCACGCTCGTTTTCACTCCCAATAAATGCAATTCTTCTCCTATTGAAGATATTTGTGTCGTTGCTCAGCCAAAGCTCGGAGTTSCCWCTAGAAGCAATCCCAAACCTGTACATACCTGTTATTTTTGGCTTGAGGAAACCAAAGATTCGTACGCCACTATTTTTAACAGTTAGGTTGCAAAACTCAGTCTTATTGATAGCTTCTTGAACTGTTGGCAAACTAGGAAATAGAATGTTTCCCTTGAGACTTTCCAAGTTGTAATTACAGATCTTGTCCCAGATGTAAAGATTAAGGAAGCCTGCTCCTAAGTGTATCTTGGTTTTCTTAATAAGGTGTTGWCCCGGTTGAGCTCGTTTTCCCGTGATGTTTCGAGAAATGTTGAATATTCCTAATCGTCGTTTWWAGGRAATATAGTCCTTTTTYGTCTCTCCTCTGATGTAATTCTGATTATCTTTCGTGGTAGTTGACTCTGCAAATGTTCCTTCATTCGTACTATCATCATTTTTACCAAGATCGTTACTGATTGTCATTTCTTCTCTTTTGTCTTGAATCTCTATCACATCTCTTTGCAGTTTAAGATCGTCATCGGCTTTAATGCGTCCAAAAATCTGAATTTGTTTGACTTTCATATCAATCACATTCACTGTTTTCCTGAAGTCCAAATCTTGGATGCGATCTGCATCATCTTCAACAAGTCGAGATGAAATTAAATCACTTTCCCATGTACTCCTCTTCGCCTCCCAATTAAAACGTCGCGTTTTCCTTAGTTTTAAATACTCTATAACAATGCACGCTAAAGAAATAAGAAGAACTAAACTAGATATAGCGATGTAGAACGATTTTAGTTTCATACTGGTCTTGTTATGGTGATCTGAAACGTGTCCATGGGTTTACTACCAGTCTCACATTKTTGACTGTTTCTTTTCGTTACCAAGATTACCCATCAMATTAGCAAATAACAATGTTCCAGGGAATAAGCTTGAATAATATCATGAAACGTCGATATATACATTTCGGTTAACTGCATTTGAACATAATTTTATAAAATRATATTATCACCTATTGCATTTTTATACGATAATGGTAAAACAACATGCTAATGAGAATCAAAAAAATCCATTAAACGCGGATTTAGTACGCTTCGATTACTAGTGCCATTTTATACGGGAAAAAATCCGCCGGGTTGATCATTATTATAAAGCAAGCAGGCTGAGTCTTTGGCAAAGATATTTTCGTGTGTTTTATGGAACGATCAAACTACATCTAGGATAAAATGAAAGACGACCGACTTATTCTTTTTGGATTGTGAACTTCTAGTAGTTAAGCAATTACCGCCTGGACTGCTGTCCAGTGTTATATTACATGTAGTTGGGCTGGATTCCTGCAGTTTCGCTTAAGTTTCGCTCATGTGAAAGTTTCCAAAAACTGTTACGCATGGCCATAATTCCCCAACCAAACATGTCCCACATGGACAAGTGAAACATTTCACAGTCTTGAATGATATATTTAGTGATCTTAGTATTCAAATRTTCTTATTGCCTACTCACAACGTCACTGTGAAGAGTTTTGTCATAAGATTTACCTCACATTAATCTAAATAATAACGAAAACATAGCTGTGCAAAAACTTGGCTTTTTTACTTTAAAATATAACTGAGAGCTGACGCAGTTRCGAGTTATTCAATTATTGCATACCATCTTGCTTTATAGCATTGCTAGGATTCCGTTTTTACTCAACTAAAAGATGTTGTTACTCCAGAGCTAAAACACAAAGTGAACTGTCAAAATAAAGTGAACTTCAAAACTCAAATTATTGTGACTTTTAACGGCAGATAAACTCGGAACTCTTCAACACCAAAAGTACTTTCCTGAGTGGTAACTTATTAGAATTGATTGACAATGGATATTARCTTTTTAATCTTCTGTAATACTTTATTGGTAGATTCTAGGTTAAAGGATTTAGAATTCGTTTAAAACGTAGCATTCAATAYAAATAATGGCTTTTGCTGGTACTGGTTTAATTATCTTTGAGATCACTGGTGTCATGGCGCCGGAGTCACCGCAAAGCGACAGACTTGAAGTGAATTTAATGATGATGCGCCGATTTTAATAATAAATATTGCGAGGTAATTACGTTAGTTGCCCTCTTTTCGTGACTTTTTTTCTTTCCTGTTTTAAGTAGTCTTTATCTCACAGCCAGCGCTTAGAATTATCATCTGCTTCAAATTGATCGGTTAGCGACAGGTGAAGACGAACCCAACCATCCAATCAGCGCTTACCAATCCAACTCGAGTTCTAAAAACCCAATTTGCATTCGATAAACGGGAGATCTTCATTATCGATAGGCATAATACAGCATATTGAACACTGCTTGTAGTCAGCGTGGTCATAAGACATACGGAAAGGATTAGGAAATCTGTTCCAATTATTAACTCAACAAGATGAACTAAATCATTGCAGCAAGATTTCCTAAGGCTTCTAGACGACGATATCGCAAGGTAAGATATTCTATATGTGTACTGAGCGTATTTGTCTTGACATAAACGCGATTTATTCCGTATGTAACATTGGATAACTGTCGTGTAGTTGTCACTAAAGAAAAAAAATTAACTAACTTCTAACGTTAACAAGAACAACGTGCAAAAATATAACGGTTTGTTTTCCCGTGGAGGACCGTCAGTAACTTTTATATATTTAACTATATATACACTGGCGTGTCGTCCTTGTTTTTAAAWTTCGTGGCAGCATACTGAGTATTTATCCGTACAAAAAACTTCCTACAGACAGAATCATCGACAAAAGATAATTATTACAAAGTTTTTTTAAATAAGGGAATGAGGTAATTGCACATGGAAGGACATAATAGTAGCAAAAACATTAACAGAAAACTGACTGAAAAACCATTTCAAAGGTCTATAGCACGTGTTGCGGTCAGCATCAGTCGCTTGCCACCTTTAAGTCAAGAGAGGAAAAATGGTTTCAAAATAATTCGAAAGAGGTAGATATTTTGTTCTTTGGGGTCAGACCATCTGCGYAATAAGTTCGCACGAAGCCAAGCCTACAAGTGTCTTCAACAGCWCTTCCTTAAACCAGCAGAATCACCAACGACAGAATCATATGGCYGCATTATCTAATTTGAATGTAACTATTGTTTTTTTGTTTTAATATTTAATTACAGTTTGTTGACCGTAATATTGTCCAATAAGCACTCTACTCGAAACAAAAGTTCASAGAACAAAAGAGTTTGCAGTTTTCTCCATGCGACATTCAATATGGCTGGCGAGTCCGTTATGGTTTTATGTCAGTCAAATGGTTGAAAGAGCTTACAAGGAATACAAAGTTTTGAATATTTGTTTAAACTACAAGTCTCTCTACTAATATGACAAAGTTTTTAGCGAGGGCAATAAGAAAAGTCTCYCGCAGTCAGTATAAAATCCGAGGCACTTCTCCGGTTCTCGATATCTCTTTGAGCAAGGGYTCTGCTGAAAAAACGTTGATGCACAATATATCAGTCGACTATGAGATGTTAATCTCTTTCCTTTTGTCGTAATTCATATAATAATATTCATATTCAATGATTGATTATCGTCTCGCCATCTTTCTTTTTCTCTTYTATTTTTATGTATGGAACCAATAAGGAAACTCAGTGTTCAATTTCGCGTCTACTTTTTKTRTGCACATCCACTTCCTTCYCAACWAAGTTGAAAGAATTGAAAGAATGTTACTTTTTGTTTGTTTCGATATTGTTTTTTATATGCAAAGGGTACTCTTGCTTTCCCATTATYATAGCTACAAATAATTGTATATCAGTTCCCCAGTAAATCTGGGACTTTATATAGTCATGTTTTTACATGTCCATCATGTGGTTCCCGTATGATAATTTCGTGTACCTATTGACCTTGAGCTGTCTTGAATATAGATATATTTAATAAGGCTTTTATTACTATTTTCAGAAAAGCCTCTTGCCGGCTCCTATCGTTCCGGGTCTTCATTTCCTTATTTTTTTCATCCTAACAAACTACTTACGATGACTTATGAAAAACATTATAAGAACAAAAAACTATGATAAATGACAAAATGACAAAAAACAATTGTTTTCAATCAATTTTGTAACTTCAAAGTGCAACCGACCTGTCGATATTGAATCATTACCGTTACTCTAATTCCTTAGTAATTAAACATCTTTGTTGTCTTGGAACAAGCATTCGCAAACATATTAACCTTTTCATTATAAACTCTCGTGTAAATGTCGCGTTTATGTCGTAAACCTGTCGTGAGGCTGTCGGATCGCGATCGTTATTGAATTCCTACAGAAATAACTTCAGCTSTTATTTGGTGATACTAGCATTTGACCTTTTATTCACGCTTTTAGACAAAATGTCCTTCTAAAAGTGTAGTTTCGAAATGTCTGAAGCTGTCTTCCAGGCTATGTACGATTTTAATCCACATTTGTGAGTAGGCGTTTTTATGCTTCTTTACTTTGTATGGAATTACGTACACTTACTTGCGCGAACTTTAGGGTTAAAAAAGTACGGCCGCAAAAGAAAATACGGATGCAAAACCATAGTTATGCTAAAAAAGATATTGTTGTAACGCTTCAYATGAGGTAGCGACTTCACGATTGTGCGATATTTCTTCTGGGGTAATAGTGTACCTCTAAAGAGCCTGGCGACAAAAGTAAATATACGTGGCGGAAGTCAATTATTTGCCCGCATAAAATAAAAAGGTCATGTTTTCCTGATGTGTAGTCGAAATGACAATCTCATTGCCAAGGACAAATGGCAAGTTTCTTGACAGTTATCTCCATAGTTTACCATTCTTGYTTTTGCGCAAAATATCAGGGTTTATGTACTGTATCTGTCTCAGTCCTCTGGCCTCCGTTTAAATCAGAATTGTTCTCTAGAGATCAGACAGGCTACCCGTTTCAGATGGGTGGCAAAATTACTCAGGTATTTACTCGGATGGGAAATTAACCCGAGCATGCACTAGGGTAGCGACCTGTCCGTGTGGTAACAATAAAAGCAACTGCGATAAAAGTCATGCTTGACATTAGGCAGAAGAAAGAAAGGGGGGTGTTTATCACATAAACCTGCAAAAACACTTCTCTTTCTTCTTGTAAGGCGTCAAGGGTATTAACAAGTTAGCGTACCGTTAACAAAAATACAGTACAGTGCATCGTCATTACGTTTTTCTCCYCGTGAAGGTAAAGCAAGTGTTATTCATAATCAACTGATTATCTGTTATGATATCCCTGTGCTGGATCTTCTAGTAAGACTCCTGATATGGCAATTACGAAGGCGATTTGATCCTGCCATTGTTTTTATAACAAGTAAAAGCTTGTGGATAAACAAAAGGTGCAAAGTGACAATGATAACTGACATATTATCAATGAACACAAGAATCTAACAACGCATGCGTGCTACAGCGCATTAGCGGTTTCAGAAATAGCGTGCGAAGCTTAAATGTCATCATTTGTATTGATGGTTGCTCTTTTCGCAGCGTCTAGTGAGATYTTTACTAAAGTGGATTGGCGTACAGTATGAACAATAGATCCCTGGTTCACAATGGTATTACATTAGCTGTTACACTTCAAAGGAATGGAGGAATCTRCCTCGAACAAAGCAACCCCTGGAAAGCCGTCCAAAACACGTAAGTTTGCTTATTTGACCTCATCTTTCAATCAACTTCTTGACTTTATGCGAATAACCTCGCTGATTTGTCTGTGGTTTTAGCTTTTGTTCGCCGCACTGCACCGGGTTTTGATATATTATTGTTGTTGGTATTCTTGTCGTATGTTTGTGTAATATCGTAGAGATTACAGTGATCCATCAAGAGTGAAACCCAGGAAACTAGTAAGGAAAACACTTGTCTACAGTACGCGTGTACAGCAGTATTAATGTCGTTATCATAGCACTGTGGTGTAAAGTGTTCTTTTCAGATTGTCTTTTGAAATTGTTAAGTTATTCCGAGTGCCGTTAAGTAGTTTTTATCTGGTATTATTCACAGCTACGCTAAGTGAATTTCAATGATCAAGTTAGCAACATTCATTTATCACCATAACAAACAAGGTTTATTCACTGCTGGGCGCCTGATGCGTGCGTTTGGCGAACAAACGCGAGGTTTATTTTACCCTTTTAATTCTTTAAATTGATGTTCTTTTTGAATCATAATTGTTTCGCCCTTACGACCAAAGTACATCTATTAAACAAACAACTCCCTGTAGGCTAACATAAWCGTTTAGCCAATCACACACGCTCTTTTCAATTTCATTCTCAACTGTTGTCACTTTTGTTTTGTTTCGTGAGCAAGACAGACAAAGACTTTATACGCGCAAACATAGCCACAGTACTGGATTTAGCAGATATAAATTCTTATTCTGTAAATTAGCGCGGGGTTCACGGATGGTCAACGCAAGTTTATACAACGTTGAATTTTTGCAGTTGAAAATGGTCTTCTCTGTCAAGTTTTAAGAAGTCTCTTTGTTTGCAAATAATGGCATGAAGATGTCTGACGGAATTCGACCATTTCTGCATTAAGTGCTTTTTGAGATTTGTCATTTTCGTTGTTCTCAAAGATGGAGGAGTTGGTTTCAAAAGCATTCGCTTACACACACCACAATTATAGGATTCCTTGTGGTAATTGTGCAAGAAAAAGATAATCCAAAAACCCACGATAGATTAAACGAAAATCCATCATCGGTGTTTGCTTGGAGCGAACTTTAAACAACCAAACTATGCACATTTCGTCATTGACTCTGTCAGTGTGTGACTTTTTATTTGTACTAAAGTTTTCAAAGTTTTTCGTCATCAGCATTTTTTCTTAATCCACCAACAAATAAGTGTAGAAATAAAATAAACAAATMTCCTTGCTTCTACTGTTCTTGGAAGTTTRYAGTTCTGTTTTAAGGTTTTGGCTTKTAAAAGTCTTCCTTGAGTACTTGGTGCATAATATCCAGTCCATATTTAGTTTTRRAATACCCCATAGTCGGCTTGTTGATCCACTATCCACAKCAAACACAGAACGGCAAGTTTTGACCTTTTAACCCGAGGATTTAGATATTAATTTCTTTATCAGTACTTGTTTTAGTTTAATTTCCTTCAATTATTACCCATAAGAAACAAAGCGCCTGCTTTATTCCACTATGTCAATSCAGTTACGATATATTTGGATCATTGTTCTTATCGGTCAGAGCGGTTGATAGGACTAATTAGTAAGTCGATCTACATCGGACTAGCTAATGACGTAGACATGTTTGAAGAGCAACTTGRGAGGTCATTGTCGTTGACCTGATCCGCAAACAAACCAAGTACAATGTTCTTTGGCATCGAGTCCATCTGTACAAGTCATCTATCGTCTCAATATCCACTTATCCATACAAAACATCATGCATCCATCCACTATATATTCTAAATCCATCCACACACCTCATCCACAGACCATCCACTATTCTAGGTCCAACCATTCATCCACAATCACTTACATCCACGCACCATCCACTATTCTAGGTCCAACCATTCATCCACACACTATCACCATACATCCAGATCCATCCATCAACCTTATCATCCATTCACAACCATCCACAGACCATCCATCTATCATAAGACCATCCACGTACACTGATCTAGATCTATCCATAAACCCAATCATCCATTTCACGTATCCATCCATTCTTCCATTCACTTCTACACCCGTGATACATATATACATCATGTAATTTTCCATCCATCTTTTCAGTCATAATCTACTTTGCGTTCAATAAGTCCAGCCTTTTATTGATACTTGTACGAAGTTTAGGCTAACGATTGATCAATTGGGCAACATGTCGTGCGATGCATACATCTGTCCCGAAATGTTCAAGTGTTCATGATGAACAAAACAACATCACGTGATCTGAAATGTGTAGACTTATAATTGCTGGCATCATTGCGGTGGATTTAACGACCTTGYTGTACCCTTCAGCGAGAAAATCACTTGGACTCCTCTTGTAAAACAGACTTATCACTAGTGTACARTAGCCTAAGGCGATTGCCTTTCGCCACGTGCTGTCAAAAACTTGAAAATCTGATACAAGAAAAAAATCGTATTTATAAACGGATGCGGCCGTGAGGTGTCACAAGGATGTCATCCGATTGCAATTGACCARCCCATTAACGCTGGTCACGAGAAAAACCAGGAATACTGCAGACATATCAATATTTATTAAAAATAAAATAAACATCGGTATAGTCAAAAGAAATGAAATACCTGACAATCTCTTTTTATCGTTAAAAGYTCAGTGTTTAATGGTATTTAATAGAACTGCGAACATTTTAATGCCTGGTATTTAAGAAATAGCTATGATTCTCATCTCACGCGATTCCTAAGTTTTTTCGCACATGTCATTATGTTTTAACGCCAAGTAACAAAGACTCAGTTGACATTGTAAAATGGGTAGCATTAGCCCAACAGCCAAGATATGTACATCAATCTTTCTTGAAAAAGCTCAGAGATCATGTGGTTGTCAAACAGGATTTTTTTCGGCATTATTTCACATTGCGGAAAAGAATATACGCTTGTTTTAGAGGTTGTCTGCTAAGAAGAGATATATTCAYAGAGAAGCCTCTGGAACCAGGGTCACGATGCCATCATGTAAGATGAGCGCTGCAAAGCTCAGTGAATGCGTTTTTTTCGTGTGCGTGTGTCCCGGCTTAGCTGACATAATTGAGTATCCTGGTTTCCCACGTTTTTGACCGAAAAGTTGCCAGTACGTGAATTAGATGCAATTTTGTCACTAAAAGCAGAGAAAACGTTATCATTTTRTCATTTATTTATGCTTTTTGTACTGTTTTCCTCATTTTACTGTAAATCACTCCTTTTTTCTTCCACATTATTTTAAGGCAAATKTAARRAAARGRAAAAACATACAAAAATGGTTTCCTTTTAATTAATGCTAATTAGCTTGGTTATTCCACGTGACTAGTCTCAGTACTCTTAAGCGAGCGCGAAATTTAAGTTTTACATTTTACGCTAACGGCTGAACAAAGACTTCTTTTGAAAGAAAGTAATTTAGAGTTTTAATGAAGATTTGGTACAAGGCTTTTATCAATGAATTTAGTTGCTTGTAATCAATCCTTAGACCGATTTTTGTACTTATTTATTGACTATTTGGATTGAAAATGGTTGTTGGAATAGCAAGGTTCTCGCGCCTTCGTGCACCGAGAACKCATTCTWCCCTCCAAAAAGGCAAGAAGAAACATATTTCCCTCTAAGAAGTTGTGTTTGTACTAATTTTATTTATTTTCTTGCAGGGAATGGTTCATCGGGATATGAAAGGTAAAGTTTTTATTAATATCTTATGTTAATAAGCTTACTTAACGATCGTTCAAACATGCTTCCAGTTTACATCTACATGTTCGATTGTATCTGTTGTTGCATTTTCTCCTGTTTTAACTAAAGTATGTTGAACTTGAAAGGATCTTACATCTTTTCTTAAGAAAACTCTTTAGTAAGCTGTTGTTTTTTGTCCAAGAAATTTCGAAAATCGAATGTAAACAAGCGAACTTTGGTATTGATATTTCTATTAACGATTCTCCGAAACGATCAATTTTACATCAGTTGTCTTCCTAAATTTTCTACATGTAATAGATTTTCGTTCAAAAGAGCCGTTTCCCTTGAATTATGGACAGAAAGCTCCTGTCCAGATATAAAAGACGCTCTCGATACTTCCATCTGTTGCCTGCCATTTTGTTTCGCTAAGTTGTGATCTTATCTTGTTGAAAACGTTTAAAATGTTATAAAATATGAATCTTGAATCTATGATTTCCTTCCATTTCTGTTTTGTTTCTAATTTTGTTTCTTTTCGAGCAAGAAAACTAAGATTATTCACGCTCCCTTCCCCGTGGGGTGCAAGGTCTCTTGTGCACGTCCTGTGCGTCTTCAGAAATATCATGCTGATTATCAAACTTGAATATATTTATCTCAAGTACCAGACTATGTAAGCTTATGTTTAAAGAACTAAATTCAAGTTTGGTGTAGAATTGTTTCGGAGCAATTTCCCTTCATAACAAATGATTTGATATGTTGCGACATTTCTTTGACGTGTGTATCGTAGAAAGTTTTCTTTGTTTTCATTCACATTGTTCTTCCAACGTTCTCGTTATAAGCCTTGTTTTGGTTACCMAAAACCACTATAATTGCACAAGAGATTATTTCTATAAATGTTTTAATGATTTATATATCTGGGTTTTTTTTCAAGATTTATTTAAAACCTTTTTGATGTTATTTAATGACATATATTTCCGTTTGCACATGGCAATTTGTGTGTTTATGTCAAGAAATATCAACATTCAAAGCATCAATTAATCATAAGTTAAGGAAGTCTTGTAAAAAACGAGGACATTTCCCGATGTACGTTATATAACCACTACAAATATCTTATCCATGGTTCATTAGAAACCAAATAAAAACAAACAAAGAGAGAAGGCATTGMTGTGGAAAACTTAAATATTGTATAATAATTGTGGCTGCTARCATGTATGTGATYCCCTGTCCAAGGTACCAACATCTTTTTAAAAGTTTTCGTATACAAAACCTACACTTTTTTAATGGATATCTCTGATACATTCTTTTAATTATAATCTAGTTTTGGTGCTATACTTTTATCTCTGATCTTCAAAAGACTGTCAATGTATGGGATCAACACCATTAAACCTTAAGTCCAAAAGTGTCAATGACTTGCTAATCTCTTGTTAACATTATTTTCAGCAATGAAGGCGACAATATTAAAGTGTATGTTAGAGTACGTCCACCTGCCAAGAACTTGGAGAGTGGAGTTGATCGGATGCCATGTATAGAAGTCACGTCTGCTAACAGTATTCAACTTTTGAGCAAACCAGACCCCAAGACATTCTCATATGATCATGTGGCAGATATTAACACAATGCAGGTTAGATAATAAAGTACTTTGCATGTAAAATAACCATTTTAAAAGGAGTTAATAAAATGACATAACTTGCYACTATTTGATTTTGAAAATAGTAGAATCTTTTTGCATGTTTAAGAATGGTTAAGATAGACTCAAGAAAATAAGGAACTTGAAGAATATCAGTTTTTATGTATATGACTTTTCTATAATTATAATATCAAAAGAAACAACATTTTCTATGAAAATCAGGAAGTTTGAGAGACAAAGGATMAGCAGTATTCAAGCTCAATGATTTAATAACTAGTAATGCTGCTCATAATATTGTTAACTTAACTAATTTTATGATGAAACTACAAATTATATATGAATTTAATTACAGATTTTTTGATATTATCTGTACATATATAGTGCAAATGTCATAATATCAGGTTTTAATTGATTTGAGCTGTGAGGTGTCTGTGATAAACCCCCGCTGAGAACATAYATTAACTAACAATTGGACAACTTCAAGGGAAGCACATAAGATCTTTTGTTCACTGGGTCACTGGGGTTATGATTAATATGCCTAGTAGAAGATATTATWATTTTGTGTTTATAGACAATATTGATTTAATATCTTTTTGTGAACCTTACCAAATCATTAATAATTCATAAAAAGTCCACAAGCATAAAAACCTGTAGAAATAAGTTTGCAATTCACATAATCACCCTGATTTATATCTAGGATTTCTCTCTTTGTTTTTTTTTATGAAAAAAAAATAGTTTATTGCTCAATGCAATGATCCTTTTTGTTTGTTTGGTAAACAATTATACAACATGTAATAGTTTTAAAACTAATAGATATTTTCTGTTTATAGGAGGAGGTGTTTGGTGCTGTTGGGAAGAAAATTGTAGAAGGTTGTGTGAATGGATACAATGGYACTATATTTGCATAGTAAGTAAAGCGTTAATACTGGGATTATTTTCTTTGTACTGTTTATATTTTTAGGTTATCATTCATACTGGACATAGAGAACACAATCTGTGTTGCCAGTCGATAACCAAGCAAGTAATTTAATTTATATTGGTGTTTTAATATTGACCTTATCGTTTGTTTTGCTTTTAGTGGGCAGACTGGATCAGGAAAGACATTCACCATGCTTGGTAATAACAAACAAACCTAATCTTTTGTAATGACATGTARGCATACTCTTAAATATTGTTTTGTTATAGGTCCTGCCGAGGGAGARATAGAGTGCTTTACTCATGAACTCAGAGGTGTCATTCCAAGGAGCTTTGAATATCTTTTTAGCTTGATTAAAAGAGAGCAAGAAAAGGTAAGACTGTTCTGTTACTTGTTACCTTTCCAGCTAAAAGTTTTACTTGATATTTTAATTTATTTTTATTCTGTGCAGCATGGAGATCATCTGGAGTTCCTGTGTCGATGTTCTTTCTTAGAAATCTACAATGAACAGATATTTGATTTGTTGGATCCTGCGTCTAGTGGGTTAGCACTGCGTGAAGACTTGAAAAAAGGAGTATTTGTAGATGGATTGTTAGAGAGGGACGTAGCTAGTGCAAAGGATGCATACAGGGTAAGTAAAGACATAAACAGATGGATGATGAATTGAATAAAAGAGCGAATCAAAGATGTCATAAAAGATATAATACTATTTTGTTTTGATGTTGAGACATCACAGCTAACTCAGATAAAAAATCAACGATATAAAAGCAAGGCTACATGTAAGTGACTCATTTCTTAATGTGGTAACGTCTTGGTTTCTTTTTTGCATTGTAGGTATTGAATTCAGGATGGTTAAATCGAAGGGTTGCATCCACTAGTATGAACAGAGAAAGTAGTCGAAGTCATGCTGTGTTTACTGTGACATTAGAATCTAAAGTAAGTCATGAAATATTATGCCATCAATTAAGGAGGTCAACAATAAGTGCATGCTATTTTGTTCTCTCAAAGGAAAAGAAAAACAGTATGTGTAACATCAAAGTATCTAAGCTACATCTGGTGGATTTAGCAGGATCTGAGAGGCAACGAGACACTCATGCCGAGGGTCTAAGGTTAAAGGTATGATAAGTCTTGCTTTGGTTGATTTAATTGTRATGTGGAGAGGGCTGTTATGGCATTTGAGACCATGAACAAACTATACAAGATCCATCACAAATGTACAWGAAGTGTCACTTTGATTGGATTCCATCTTTATCTGGTATTATTGTCTGACTTCCAATTTTTCCAATTTTCATTCTTGTGTTCAATTCCCATTCAGTATTGCAATGAATTGTGTATTTGTAGGAAGCAAGCAGTATCAACAAATCGTTATCAGCCTTGGGTAATGTCATCATGGCATTAGTGGACATAACCCATGGAAAGAATAGACATGTGCATTATAGAGATTCCAAGTTAACCTTTTTGCTGAGGGTAAGTACTGTCTATTACTCATTGGCAATAGACTCAAATGTTTCTGAAGTTGCTTTATACATTATTGTTGTTATAGGACTCTCTTGGAGGCAATGCAAGAACTTACATCATAGCAAATGTTCATCCATCAGCAAAGTAAGCTGAAAAACATAGTGATTCATCATGATTTCTCTTTATTCTAACCAGTTTTTTTTCTTTGCTATCAGATGTTTTGGTGAGACATTGTCTACTTTGAACTTCGCAAGACGAGCTAAAATGATCAAAAACAGAGTAAGTCATTTAATCAYATCAGTTGAAAATACTACTAAGACAGGTTTTAAACATGGAAGATTATTCCTGGTGTGCAGAAGAATTTATGAGAAACCACTGCAAATATTCTTATGTATTAATGCTATTGAAYGTATCTTTCTAGGCTGTGATCAATGAAGACAGCACTGGAAGTGTGACAGCTTTRCAAGCAGAAATACGTAAACTACGGGAAGAGCTAGCTCAAGCAAGAGGTGAATTGGTAGAAATGTTAATRATGGTCTTCTATGAAAAATACTRATTGAATATCTTTTATTTCATTAGCTGGGATGCAAAAACAAGTTACTAGACAAGGTTTGTACAATCAGTCTTTGCTCTTTTCTTATCTTTGCTTACTCTATATGTTTGTTGTTCTTCTAAGCTCCTTGCATCCATACCTTTACTTCCTTTAGCTAGCCAGCTTCTTCTCCTTCCTCTTATTTCATTCTGTCTTCTCCTTTCTAATAGAAGTATGTTGTTTCTGTTGTAGAACCAACAGACAATGATGCATCAAGTAGTCGTGATCAGTCAGCTGATAGTAATAATAACAATGGTGGCATTGAYCATGGTCAACAATACAAGGAATGGAGGGAAATGATWATTGCTGCAACAGAAGGAAGAGAGCGTGCTGAACAGGAAAAACAGGTTTGTCATTGATTCTGATAGTTTTGGAATGCTAATGAGATTAATTTTTTTACATTATGCATCCTTTCAATATAGACCTACAAAGAAAAAATAAGAAAACTTGAAGAATTGTGTAGTAAAAAGGACAAGTTTGTTCAGGTATTCTTGGCCAGCATTCACTGTCTGATATCTGAAATATATCTGTCATTAATTTCTGATGGTTTATCATGTGTTTGATGATCAATCATTTTGATCTACAGTCAACAAAAATGATTCTRAAGTTTCGTGAAAGTCACATCGCAAAACTTGAAAGAATGAAAAAAGGAAATAAAGAAGAACAAGAAAGAGAAGAAGACAGCAGGGATAAACAGATTGTAAGTTGATTTTTCAAKCTTTTTTTTCTTYACTATTTGCAAATAGTGTTTATTGAGGTGACTGATGTGTAACTTGAAACTTTTCCAGCAACTTTTAAATGAAGAAATCGCAATTTTGAAAGAGAAGGTAGAGCATCATCCTGAAGTTACAAGATTTGCAATGGAGAATTTAGAACTGAGAGGTATGTGATTTTAACTTTGATTTGATTTTGATTATTCATTTTCAGTGAATTTATTTTTTCCCTTCAAGCTGAGGTAAAAAGGCTGCGTCACATYGATGAAGAAGGAAATGATATGGATCAAGAGCTTGCCAAAAGCCATCGCTATACTTTACAGTTGGAAAAACAGTTACGGGATTTACTACAGTCGCCACAAGGCAGTGGTAGGTTTGAAATTTGTCCATATTTTCCTTCTTGCATACATTCATTTTGCAAATCTGATGAACATCTTGTGTATTTTTTTTTTGCTTGTTTCAGTTGACCTTGAAAGAAGTTTATCAAGCTCATTGCTCAACCTTGAAGCTTCTAATGCTGAACTTGARAAGTTTAAAGCTGAGAGAAGTCAGCTCAACTCGCAAATTGATTCGGCAAGTGAACATATTCAAATCATTGCATTGTTATCAAACCAAGCATCATTTCATGAAGAACTCCAATTTGCAATTATTGATGGCATATCTTAGTTGATTTTTTTGATTTTATTGTAGACAAGGGAAGAACTTCAGCAAACAAGAGAAGACTTACAGAAAACMAAAGAGAAACTTATTAATGAGGGAGAAACATACAGGAAAAAGATCTTGGATCTAGAGTCTGATCACTCTTCATTACAGAAAGCTAATGCAGAACTAGAGGTAAAGGAGCATTACTTTAGTAGCAAGTGGTTTGGATTCTTATTAATGTTATTTTTTACATTGTTGCCTTGCAGAAAGCATTAGAAACTTTTCAACTWAAGACTGCAGTGGAGCGAACGACCTTGAATGACATTCACATGCAAACTATCAAGGTGATTACTTACTGAAATTAAATATATTATGTTCCCCTAGTCCTACTATAATATTAGTTATCTTGTGTTGTGTTGTTGCCTGAATTGGCAGTGGTTGGTGCTGATTCTGTACTAAAGCTGTTGCTATTGCAATCAGGATTTACAGACTTTGTTGCAAAACTTGTTGTTTTTTCAAATCACACTTTTCAGATGTTAAATATAATAATTTCCAATTAATGTTTTCCAGACGCTAACATCACCAAGAAAATCCTTAACACCCAACCTTCTTGCACCTCACAATGCAGCAAGTACACCTCAACGAGGAGAAAAGAGTAAACTCAACATCAATAAGTACAATTCTCCAGTCATTGATCTGGCAGATGAGAAACCTCCTAATGGATTATTTAGAAGAGACAGTTTTCATGACAGTGGCAGTGACACTGAGTTTGATGAACCATTTTTCAACTTTGAGGATGAAAGCAATGATGCTGAAGAACTTTATGCTGATGCATTAATGGATGAACTCAAGAAGCTTCAGGTATTGGGTTGCAGGTTATTTTTCAGTGATGGCAACACTGCTTGAATTTCATTTTATTTTTAAATTTACCAAAAAGATTATGACCATAGACTGAATGATGAAATATCCTTTAAGGTGAAATATTTGTGTTTTTGGTAGGATATGAATAACGACTTGCTGCAGAAGTTGCAGTTGGCAGAATCCAATGCAATCAARCTGAACCAGATTTCAAACAAACAGGAATATCAAGTCCAGCAACTTAACACTGTAAGTATAAACATCTTTCTTCAACCATTCCTGACAAAGCTTTTCCATGTTAATTTGGTTTTATGTTTAGACCTTGACTAGTGAAAGAGAAAAGCATGCAGCAATAGAAACTGAGCTAAATATGAAGAACCTTAGTTTAACAGACAAACTGAAAGATGCCAAGAGCTGCAACACAGGTAGAATCTTCCCTATTATTCACTGAAATAATATGTACATATTTTTCCATTTAGTTAATTATTTTCTTTTTGCTTTTGTTCAATCATTTATTATTCATTCATGTATGACATCTTTTGGTATTGCACACATGTGTCTAATTTCTACCAGATTATTCATCAGATGCCTTGTTGATCGTTGTAAAAAAATAACATATAGCTGTCCTAATTTAGTCTTCTCAGACATTCTAAACTATGCAATAAATGACTGTGTTAACATGATTGAGGTCATTTGTTTATAGTTTTGCAAGAGGAAGTTGATGATTTAAAGGTAGTGCTTCAGTCTGCTGACAAAGAACTGGACACCATCAAGAAGCAAAGAGATCTAGACAGTATTGAAACTGGAAGAGCCTTATCTTCTCTTGAAAGCAAGGTAGAGTAACTCCATCAATAAAGGCACATGCACACATCTTCCATCTCTAAACTTTGCTCTTAGTAGAGATCTTACACTGTTGTCAATTGCTTTATTACATCACCCAGGTAACACGACTTGAGATAGAGAACTACAACAAGCAAAATGAGATTGAAAATGGAATTGAATCAATACAAAACCTACAGGTAAACAGACTATTTTGGCTAACTATTTTTTCTTTTGCCTTCCTCTTTATCTTGTTATAAATTTTAATTGTTTACTATTTTAGTCTGAGATGGAAACACTTCAAGATGAGCTACAGTTCAACAACCACAAGATTGATGAATATGAGCAAATGTTACAGAGTGAACGACAAAAGATACGAGAACTTCAGCAAGAATTACAAGTAATGATTTCAAATAGATTATGCATTGAGTCGAATCAGAGTAGATTTCCTAATGAAATGTTGTCTTTATGTTTYGTCTTCAGACCACAAATGAGAAGCTTCACTTCCAAACTGAGACAAACATTAATTTAATGGCTCAACAAGATAGTCAAAAGGTATGTCAAATGACTTGCTTAGTTACTTACATGTAACCAAACAACATAATGAAAGAACAGGCTACCTTCAAGCACAAGAAAAATAAATTAAAATCAAATCAAACTAATGAGCTCATAGTCAAGATGTTAGTGTATACCATAATATGCATTTGGGGTTACATTTCAGGACCTTGTACGCACTCTAGAGCAGTGTCAATCATTGCAATCAGATTTACACAAGAGCAATGCACTTTGTGAGCAACAGGTATGTATAGCTTGTAAACRCTATAGGATAATGAACTCTACAGAATTTTCACTTGGTTTGATGTTGTTATTAGGCCAATAAAATAGCAACTTTGACACAAGAGCTGGAAGAAAGCAAAGAGRCAATTATTGCTCTCAAGAAAAGAAATGAATCTGACAAGGTATGTTTTTTTTCTTGTGGTACTGTATCCTCTGTTCTTTGTTTACATCTTTCATACAGGGCTTAGAAAAATTTGCTCAAATGTTCAATTTTTTTTCTAGGAATGTGTGAACAACCTTATGGAGTCTGTGATGGGACTTAAGAAAGTCATATCAGAAAAAGATGTAAGTATTTACTCTCATTGCTAGAAATTCTTTCACTTTTGCTTATCAATATATAAGCAATATATAAGCAGTTTCTATGGTATCATCTTTGGGAGTGAGGAACAAGGTGACTAGATTACCACCAAGTCCCAAGGATGTTTTTATAGTKACAACGCAGTTCAAAYATTGTAATGAAATACACTTGAATATGACTGTGTGCATCAAATAGGCTTGGAAGACATGTACTGCATCACCAAAATTACTCATTTATATTTCTTCATTAATTCAATTCTTAGAATGAGTTGGGAAACCTTCGTACTGAGCTTGAAGAGAATAAAAGTCACATACAAGAACTTACTGATAAGATTGAGGAAAAGGTAAGTATTCTCATCATTGACTACTTTTTTTGAAACAAGCATTCATTACATGGATTAATCCATGTCATCATTGACTACTTAAGTTTTATTTAAGATAGCTAGTTTGTAACCTAGATGTTTGTAGCATATTTCTCACAAACAGCAACTAAAGTGATGACTGAGCAGTCCAAAATATTGATTAAGCATTTGTTTTTTCTTTTGCTCACAGAAACACAGGATTGGTATCCTTAAAGACAAACTTGAAAAAGAAATTGAAAAGACAGCTAAAGAGCGTCAGCAACGTGAATCAGAGGTATRCATCARAGGCTAACATATTTTATTGTTAAGGAGCTCTGATGATGGATAAATATCATGATCGCTTTCCTTATCTTTTGTATCTTCAGATCAGTGTAGCCAAGGAGGACCTCAAACGAACAGCTCAACAATGTAAAGATCTTACAGAAGCACTGGAACAGCARCAACAACAAATTACTACCATGCAGGTATCAATTACAACTAATATTATCTTCAATGCATGGCTGGTTTTATAGTCATGTTTATTATAGACATCC